AAAAAAAACAAAAAAAAAAACAAGTTAGTGTCCTTATAGATATTAAATAATTTTATATGTATAGTTTCCAACCTTTAATTTAGAACATAAATAATATCCTTAGACCCAATATTACGAAGTTAATTATATAAATGGAATCTAAGAATTCAGGGCTGAGGAAACAGCATTTAGTAATTTTTTTTTTGAGACAAGAGTCACACTTTGTTGCCATCTGTAGACTGCCATGGCATCATAGCTCATAGCAATCCTCTTGCCTCAGCCTCCCCAGTAGCTAGGACTACAGGCACCCACCACAATGCCCAGCTATTTTTTAGAGACAGGGTCTTGTTCTTGCTCAGGCTGGTCTTGAATGCCTGAGCTCAGGTGATCTGCCCACGTTGGCCTCCCAGAGTGTTAGGATTATAGGCATGAGGCACCATTAAATCACCCATTTAATGATTTTATATCCTACTTTCTTTACCTACTGTCAACTGCTCCAAAATGTATGTTATGTGCTTTTCTTAAAACCCACAACCACTGTGTTTTACTAGGTCCTGCTGGTGACAGAGTGTGCAGCCCTGTCCCCTCCTCTTCTTCCCAGATTCTAAGGTTCTAGCAAATCTGAACTTCTGTCCTCCCTCTACATTCCTAAACCACCTACGATGTGGTGTTCTACTGCCAACAACCATGGAGACATTCAGCTGGCAGTGATTACTCATAGCCAATTGTGAATGCCAGGCCCAGCTCTGTTTCACTAAGCAGGTGCCTGTGTCTTGGTGAATACTAACTAGTATTCATAATTAGCTAAACTGGGAAAATAGACCCCCCCACCTGAGCCCTCATAAAAGGTCTCTGTTGATACCAAAAGGTTTCCTTCCTAACATTTTTTGTTCTAATTAAGTCATATACACATAAACCATGAATACATTTATGCATATGTGGGGTACAATGTGTTGTTTTTTTTATACAATCTGATGTGCTTACATCAAACCAATCGGCACAGCTTTTGCCTCATTTACTTGATTATTGTGTTAAGACATTTATGTTCTACACTTGACAGATTTGATTTGTACCCTTGCAATATGCTCCATAGGTGTGGTCCCGTCGTTTACCCTCCCTCTATCAAACCTTTCCCCTCCCCTCCCTTCCCACCTTCCTAATATTTTTAAGACCTTTTAGGGCAGTGGTTCTCAACCTTCCTAATGCCACAGCCCTTTAATACAGTTCCTGTGGGTCACGACCCACAGGTTGAGAACTGCTGTTTTAGGGCAAAGGGAACTGTTAATATGATAGGAGGGACTCAGGCTTTTGTTTTTAATTTTAAGCAACTCCAGAAGAGGTGAAGGAGGTATCTTTTATAGAGGCAGAATCTTAAAAATTAAAGACTTAACATACTATCAAATCCAACCCAATTTACAAATAAGCAATTGAGACCCTGAGAGGTGGTGTTTTCCTAGGCCCCAAAGGCCATCAGTGGCAGAGTTAGGATCATTTGAGTACCACACTGACCCCTTACTTCATCAAGTGCCTGTTGGTGGGCAGAGATGAATCCTATAAAGAGAGTTGGGGGGTAAGTAGGCCAATGAGCCCACAAGCAGGAAAGATTGCAGCTTCTGGCAACAGTCTCAAGAGACTAGGGCTGCCTTGTGCAACCATAGCTGATGAAAGACAAAGTAAAATTAAATGAAATGCATCTTACCTGATGTAAACACGGCCAACTGCCAGAGTCCCCAGGGCACCCAGTCATCAAGGAGAAGAAAGAGAGAAAGGAAGAAAAATGTTTTTATTAGCAGAAACATTAGATAGGTGGGATGGGAGCAGCAGAAGGGAAAAATAGGAGAAAAAGCACTGTAACCCCACTAAGGTTCTGTAGGGACAACTGGTATCAGAAATTTGCAAAGACTGCACTAAAAACACAGGAAAAGGCTCGGCGCCTGTGGCTCAAGTGGCTAAGGCGTCAGCCACATACACCTGAGCTGGCCAGTTCGAATCCAGCCCGGACCCGCCAACCAACAATAATGGCTGCAACCAAAAAAAAAAAAAAACCAGCCAGGTGTTGTGGCGGGCGCCTGTAGTCCCAGCTACTTGGAAGGCGGAGGCAGGAGACTTGCTTGAGCCCAGGAGTTGGAGGTTGCTGTGAGCTGTGATGCCATAGCACTCTACCCAGGGCGACAGCTTGAGGCTCTGTCTCAAAAAAAAAAAACAAAACAAAACACAGGAAAAATGAGGCAATGGAGACAAGACTCCAGTCACTTCTCCTGGGATCCCACTACACATGCGGACCCCCAGGGCCCAGACCACCCAAGATCCAGCCTCTTAACAAGTCAACCTTTGAGAAGTTACAGCCTCTGAAGGAATCCAATAAAAGCTAAGGACCCTCTACAGAACAATGGGCTCATTCTTATGCCCATGTACACAAATATTATGCTATACTTAATTGCAGCAGCTTCATAGTCCCCTTGGGCTCATATGAGATGTGTGGACTCCCATGTAGTTTAGATCCAGTTTAACAAAATTTTCAGGCTGCCCTCCTTAAAGAGTTCTGCTGGCAGGAAGTATCTTAAAAGTTCAAGTCGACTCTAAAAACATCTTTAAGTAATGGAAAGGAGGGGGATGCTACCTGACAAAAAGGGCCACCTTCAGCTTAAAGAGCTGCTACTCAATTCCTCAATTTTTAAAAGGAAATCAAGGCTCAGAAACACGAAATGACTTGTACCAGGACTAGAAAATATGTCTTCTGACTTAAGTGCACTGCCTTTTCTGTCATCCAGCACTGCATGCAAAAAATGACATTTACAGAGCTGAAGGGAAAGTTCTTCAACTCCAGATTTTTTTATTTTGTTTTTTCTCTTTCTCATTCATTCATTCAACAAATACCTACTGACATACCTAACTACATGCCAGGACAGCGGAAAATGCAGACATGATTTCTGTCCCTCACATACCATGTATCTTCTCTAGCTAAGTAAACCCTGGACTCAGAGGATAATTCTTTTCCCAGTTTCTGAATCACTGTCAAGCTTCACAAAATCAGATATGCAATCTTCCTGGACATAACAAGTACCTCATGTCTGAATCCAATACTCATTTTGTGACTGCATTCTAAATGGAGTGGAGAATACCTCCAATCATACCAGATTTCCACTGGCAATTTCCCCCAAAGGCTGTAGGGGAGAAGTGAAGGTTACTGAATGACCTTTAGGGGAAAAGTCAGGGTTATAACAATGATAGCAGTTCCTTCCATTTATTAAGCATCTACAGTGACGTGTCGCTTGACATCAGGGATACAGTCTAAGAAATGTGTCATTAGGCAATTTTGTCATTGCATGATCATAGTACACTTACATAAACCTAGACGGTATAGCCTACTACATACCTAAACTATATGATAGCACCTATTGCTCCTAGGCAAAAATATGTATAGCATGTAACTATACTGAATACTGCAGGTAACCATAGCACAATGGTAAGTATTTGTGTATCTAAACATAAAAAATTTATTTGCTAATGTCACTAGATGGTGACATTAACTGATGAGGGGGTGGAATTATCTCCATTTTACAGATGAGGAAACGGAAATATAGAGAAGCTCACAGATTTGCTCAGGGACACATCATCTAGACTGTTAGTATCTGTTTCATATTAGAGTCCATGTTTTTTCCAATGGTACTCTGCCTCTTAATTTTGTCACTCATTTCGACTGGTTTTGTGATAACTTGAAGTATCTCCAATTTCTAGAAGATAGCTAATTACCAATTTCTACATAATATAAGAGCCTCAAGAACAAAACTCTCTGCTCCATTCTATTAATTCACCAACAAATTTATCTTTTAAACTGTTGCTACCTTAAACTCCCTTAGATATTGATTAAATGACTTTCTTGGCGGCATCCATAGCTCAGTGGTTACGGCACCAGCCATATACACTGAGGCTGGTGGGTTCAAACCCAGCCCGGGCCATCTAAAAACAACAATGATGACTGCAACAAAAAAATAGCCAGGTTTTGTGGTGGGCACCTGTAGTCCCAACTACTTGGGAGGCTGAGGCAAGAGAATCACTTAAGCCTAAGAGTTTGAGGTTGATGTGAACTGTGACACCACAGCAACAGCTTGAGACTCTGTTTCCAAAAAAAAAAAAAAAGATTCAGAAGGAGGAAGTCAAGCTCCACAGTCTTTGCTCACAACCACTATGAGCCTCTAGACTCAGCATAGCAAGTAGCAAGTAGAAAGTGCTCAGAAATGGAGAGAGAAGCCCACCATGCGGACAGGATTTGCCCAAGGTCATTCATTCAGGTCACCAGCAGCTGAGCTGGATGGGAATTCAGGTCTCCTGTCTCTTGGGCCTGAGTGTATCATGACCCAAAGTGGGTAGGAAGCCTTCTGCTCCAAAGCTGCCCAGGGGCACAGGCTTTTCAAACTTGGCAGTGTGTCCTCTGGATTGGCAACAGGGATACTGACCAGAAGAGGTGGCCACACAGGCTGATGACGGCATCCTTGGCTGTGTCCAAGCAGATGTTGCACTCGAAGGTGCTGTCCTGCCCTCCACTCTCGCCAGCACCATTGCTGGTCCCACTGGGACCCCCTGCACTGGAGTTCTCAGGGGATGCAGAAGCTGAGGGCCCCTTGCTCGCCATCCTTGCTGTCAGCAAAGCTTTGAGCAAAGATTCTCCCCAGGGAAATCCTGAAAGACAGAGAGCCCTTGATTGCCCATTTCTGTAGGCACTCCTCAACTTCCATGCCAACACCCCCATCTTCTCTCAGCTCCAGAGCTGATTATGACTGAAACTCTGAGTGACTTTTTAAAGGGTTATAGAGGATGATGTTCGTGGGGTACTACCCAGAATATATCGCACAGATTTACCAACTGCACAAATGCAAAGCAGTCTCCAAATGGTTCTCCATAGGAACGGGGACCCTGTCTCACTTATGTTTACATTCTCCCATGAAAGCTATCCAGATGATAAAGATGTACTCAATTAAATCGAACATTCAGGATATCCTCTAACTATGGACAGACTCTATAGTAGCAGGTTAATTTGCTCAAGCAGAAAGGTTATGACAAGTATATACCAGAATATAAAGAAATCTCTGGTCGGGGGGCATGGTGGCTCACGCCTGTAATCCCAGTACTTTGGGAGGCTGAGGTGGGTATACTGCTTGAGCTCAGGAGTTTGAGACCAGACTGACCAAGAGCAAGAACCTGTCTCTACTAAAAGTAGAAAAATTGGCCAGGTATGGCATATGGCTACCTGTAGTCCCAGTTACTCTGGAGGCTAAGGCAAGAGTTTGAGGTTGTTGTGAGCTAGGCTAAAGCCAGGGCACTCTAGCCTGGGCAACAGAGTGAAACTCTTGTCTCAGGGGAAAAAAAAAAGAGGAAATTCCTCTTACTACAAAAGGTTAGGAACTCAGAAAGGACTCCCAAGGACTCTAGTCTTCCATACTGCCACACTGCAATATTTGTCATTCCCCCTTCTGCCATGTGGGAATACTACCTACCTTATTTTTGTCTAAATCTGTCAACTTTTAAGCCTCAATACATTTAAAGAGAAGGCTTATGTCACTTCTTTAAAGAGAAAACGAGTATTATCTCAAGTGTAATAAAGGAAGAACTGTTTACCCTTAAATCACCTGAAATCATCTGGCAAACTCATACTGTGCTTTGGTTAATCATGATGTAGTCTAGGCTCTTTGGAAACTGCAGCCTGAGTCACTTGGGCTAGTGGACTAATGTGGAACTAAGACTAGAATTCACAACATTTTGTTTGTACTCAAACCACCATACCACCACAGAACAAGCTGACCCCCAAATGCTGGAAGAGATAGACTATTGTTGACTACTACCTCCTAGTCAAAGAACCCAGCTAGGAGTTGGACAAGGAGGATGAGACCAACACTAAGGGAAACACAGCAATTCTGTGTCCCTGAGGATCTGTCAGGAGCTTGATCTGGCCACCCTCAGCATCTCTGAAATGCCAAGTAGGAATGTGGCTGATTACCATAGTTAGAGAACTAGAGGCTTGAACGCTGGCCTAAGCTGAGCCTCAACTTGCTAGATGGTTTTGAGAACCTTCCTTCTTCTCTCCTGGCCATAGTTCTCCTCTGTAAAATTAGGTCTCCTAATTCTAGCTCTTAGATTGTGCCACTCCACATCATCTAACCATCTCCAAAGCAGATGGCCCCTGCACAAGTCCAGGACTCACCACTGGAACACAAGAAGACCAACCTGGTTTCAGCTTCCAAAGAATGTGAGGAGATAAGGACCAAAAAGCCTATCTTCATTTACACGGTAGACTCAAAGCTCCGGCCTTGTAAGCTTCTCTTACCACAACAGCAGCTCAGTGATTTGAGCAGGGAGAAGCCTCCGGCTCTCTGCCACTTTTTCACTCAGTTACATCATTTTACGTAATTTCCCAAAAGGACAACTGGCTGCTGGCAGCACCAGTGTCTTGCAGGCCTCAGCTTAAAGACCTTCTCCCCCACCCAGTGCTTCCACCTCTCCATGCACACCTGCTCTTTTTGTCTTAGGATATGGCCCACTTTTGAGGACTGCATTATGGCCTTTTCTCATCCTTCTACCTCAAGTACCCTACCCATCCTTATTTCTTTGTTTTTTAAAAAAGCTTCTAAAATTAATAACTATGTAGACCAGGCGCAGAGGCTCATGCCTGTAATCCCAGCACTTGGGAGGCCAAGGTGGGTAGATTGCTTGAGCTCACAGGTTCAAGATCAGCCAGAGCAAGAGCAAGACCTCGTCTCTAAAAAACAGCCCCGGTGCCTATAGTCCCAGCTATTTGGGAGGTTGAGGCAAAAGAATTGCTTAAGCCCAAGAGTTTGAGGTTGCTATGAGCTGTGACACCACAATACTCTACCAAGGGCAATAAAGTGAGACTCTGTCT